ATATATATATATATATATATATATATATATATATATTTCACACACGTCTGAATTCAGACTGTGCCAAACAAATCAAGGTACAATAATCTTTACAAAAAGAGAAACGCTTCATCATTTTCGTGTGGGCTGAACATTACCAGGTTGCCTAGGCCAAGGTAGGTGAATTGTCTTGAGGAATGCACAACCGGAGCCTTCGGCCAGCCGAGGGCTGATGCGAAAACCGCAATCCATTAGGGGCCGGTGTCCAGTTCATCGAATCATTCGCTCTTTGGACGGGACCAAACGTCCAAGGTACCCAAAACACCCCAATGCTCAATCTAGCCGGTGACCGTAGCCGCAGCCGGAAAAGTGTGGATTGGTTGGTTGGTTGGTTTGGAATCAGGGTTTTGGCCAACTACCAGTGGCCCATCAACTTGGATTTTGACTCTTCGTCCTCCTACTTTGATATGGGAAAACATCTCCGCCAGCACGAGAAGGCAGTGAGTAGGGCTTCCTCAGCAGAGGCTGGCTATTCAAGACGTTTGATCGCGTATGGATGAAGCATTTCATGAGGTGCAAGGGGGAGGCTAACCACCACAACCTTAGACATCCACTCCCGGACCATACTGAGAGGATTTCGGAAGCGGGGTAGGGATCTAAATCACGGTCGCAGGTCTTACTCGACTTCATGTGACCACCGCTCAGTTGTTTCACAAGGTCACTTAACCAAATTATATTATGTACTATCGCAATGATAATTGCAGACAATATACAGTATTGATTACGGGGAGAAAACAGCTCATCAACGGAAAACGCACTTGGCTAACAGACTGTTTGATGGAATGGTTAATCGATCTTCTGTTCTTATCAAATCAAACCCGGCCCCGGGATTACTGGTCCGTTTCCATGCACCCCGGTCGAATCCGAATGACCACTCTGTGGGCCCAATTCATGCATGTCTGTGGTGTCCCTCTGGGAAATCGTTTTTGTCAAATGCATGTCTCATGGCTACATCAACTAACCGGTCGTTTGTGTTGTGCCTGTCTATTTGGGATTCACCGGTGCTTTGGATTGTTTCGTTCGTTTGCACGTGTGTGACCGTGTGTTTTGGTCGTTCTCGAATGCGTTCCTGTATGATCCGATTTCATACATTTGTTTTAACCACATTGTTCTCTGGCACTGATTGTTCATAGTCCATATCGATGCACACTGAGCAATTCATCTCGTTTTGGTCTTGTCCCGGTGACAGTTTGCCTATCTTCCCATTCGGATGCGAACCTCTTGTTTCCCCGGGCTGAGCGGTAAAAAATAGTTTGCTTGGTTTGATCCCCCTAGCGAATGACACGCACATATGATCCAATCCGGTTCGTTAGGTATTGTTTGATTCGTAACGAAGAAAAAACCCGGAACGCATTGTTCCACTCATCTTCAACACTATCATGAACGAATTCGAATGTTTTTTGGCACAGTCTGGACTCAGTCAGACTGTATATATCATTATACATATATAGTACACGTGATCGGTTTCTCAATTCTTGCCGCTCGTCAGGCATGCGTATCCGGTAATCTTTTGTCAGTTCATTCATATACTTCGACCCAGGAAGTGTATTTTTCGTCACAATAACCTTGTTTGCAACACTTGGTAATTTTCGATAGACAGCTCTTTCAGAACCAGTCCATTGAAGGATCGATACTACGATTCGATATCTTGTAGGTGGATGAGATGCTACTAACCGCAACTCATGCTTTGGCAATACGCTTTCTGCTCGTACGTTTCTAGATCTATCGACAGCCCTTACAGTTCTCGTTCAATAGATGAGAGTTCTGTTCAAATGATGATTTCCCCATTGGGGCGAAAAATGTTACCTTGTTACACTCCTGTTTTTATCCGGTTAGATAAATTGGTGTTATCTTTCAGTAACCGTGTAAAACAGATGATGATGATGATTTGAAGGGTAGGAAAAATAAAGCATTCGAGGTGATGCATTTAAAAAATCTCAGATTGACCAACATTTTGAATCAGACGTCACTCAATCCAGTTCTGCTCGTGCTGCCAATATCCCGGTCATTGAATCATTTGCGGTGCTGAAATATTTTAGAGCACATAGAAGTTTACGATGTCTAAATTAGCAGCTATTGTTGTGAGAGTAGTGACCTGTCGCTTCTCTCAATCATTACTACTGACATCTTTACATAGCCTTCTTCATGCATTCTGTTCTCTTCTTATCTCTTGTTTTGAGAGTCGATTGGTTGTTCTATCACTGGCTTGATAGTGCTTTTCGTGGTTCAACCACTGCATGCGTACGAATAATATTGGTGTGCTGAACTAATCGCGACTAATCACAGCGCTTCCCACAACCGTCGACATACTCCCCTTCCCTCTCCGCGTTTGCTCAAATTTTTATCAGATCCCCGAACCGTAATCGATTCATTCCTCCCATCAGATGCGTCTAAACGATACATTTTTGTTTGTTGCACAGCTGACTTCTCATGCGGTTCATCGTATCCGGATCGATTCGGTTTTGCACTGATCACATTCGTCTCTTTCACTCTCTCTCTTGAGGATCGATTAAGACTGACTACAAATCCGGGTACATGAGATCTAGTTTAGATTTTATTGCACCCCCTCCCGCGCCTCCGCCGTGTCTGAGTCAGTCAGTCAGGGAGGTGTATACGCATAGTTCGCATAGTTGCATGCGTGAATTTGTTTTGGTTTGTCGGGCTAGACACTCGCATTGAAATTTCCCCCGGATGCTACAGCCTAAACATTTCTGTGCTGGTCGCTTTTCTCTCTTGGTCCATACACGCGCGCGCGCGCGCTCGCTAACACGACACTCACAGTTCTGTTTGTGTACCCACTCGGAACGGTCGGAATCTGATCTGGTGATGATGATGATGATGATGATGATCAAACTCCTGACCTGTCTCTGTTGCATTCCGTAAGCATTCGTTCCGGGTGATCGCGTGAGGCGTCATGATGGCAATATCTTGAATAGTTCAATCCAAGTGAATTCAGCTCAACCGGTTGAACCTTCGACGGCAATCGTCTCGAAAGTGTTGATATCGAACGGACAACTGGAGAAAAGCTGTGCGATTT